TACTGTATATCGCTGCATTCACAGACTGCACATAGCATTTCCATACTACTTACTGTATATGGCTGCATTCACACACTGCACACGGCATTCACACACTATTCACTATATATGGCTGCATTCACACATTACTTACTGTATATGGCTGCATTCACACACTGCACACAGCATTCACACACTATTCACTATATATGGCTGCATTCACACATTACTTACTGTATATGGCTGCATTCACACACTGCACACAGCATTCACACACTATTCACTATATATGGCTGCATTCACACATTACTTACTGTATATGGCTGCATTCACACACTGCACACAGCATTCACACACTATTCACTATATATGGCTGCATTCACACATTACTTACTGTATATGGCTGCATTCACACACTGCACACAGCATTCACACACTATTCACTATATATGGCTGCATTCACACATTACTTACTGTATAGGGCTACATCCACACACTGCACAGAGCATTCACACACTATTCACTATATATGGCTGCATTCACACATTACTTACTGTATAGGGCTACATCCATACACTGCACACAGCATTCACACACTATTCACTACATATGGCTGCATTCACACACTATTCACTACATATGGCTGCACTCACACATTACTTACTTTATAGAACTGCATTCACACACTGCACACTGCATTCACGTACTACTTACTGTATATGGCTGCATTCACACACTGCACACAGCATTCCCATCCTACTTAATGTATATTGCTGCATTCACACACTGCACACAACATTCACATACTACTTACTGTATATGGCTGCATTCACACACTGCACACAGCATTCCCATCCTACTTACTGTATATGGCTGCATTCACACACTGCACACAGCATTCACACACTACTCACTGTATATTGCTGCATTCACACACTGCACACAACATTCATATACTACTTACTGCAGATGGCTGCATTCACACACTGCACACAGCATTCACACACTACTCAATGTATATCACTGCATTCACACACTGCACACCGCATTCACGTACTACTTCTGTAGGTGGCTGCATTCACACACTGCACACAGCATTCACACACTACTCAATGTATATCGCTGCATTCACACACTGCACACAACATTCACATACTACTTACTGTATATGGCTGCATTCACACATTACTTACTGTATAGGGCTGCATTCACACACTGCACACAGCATTCTCACACTATTCACTACATATGGCTGCATTCACACACTGCACATAGCATTCACACACTACATACTGTAGCTGGGTGCATTCAAACACTGCACACAGCATTCACACACCACTTACTGTAGATGGCTGCAACTACAGTTTATTGTATTTGTTCAGGTGATTAGAATCATACCCTTCAGGCTTTTTGCAGTAAACACTGTATTTTCAGAGAAAATGCACTGTTTACATTACAGCCTAGTGATAACTTCACTGGCCACTCCTTAGATGGCTGCTTGAGGTGCTTCCTGAGGCAGTACTGCCTAGTGTGCAGCACTGCCATTCAGTGTCTCCACCCTCTGCATGCAGACCCTGAACTTTCCTCATAGGGATGCATTAATTCAATTAATCTTAATGAGGAGATGCTGATTGGCCAGGGCTATGTTTGACTCGTGCTGGATCTATCCCTGATCTGCCTCCTTGTCAGTCTCAGCCAATCCTATGGGGAAGCATTGTAATTGGCTCAGGCCACCACTTCTGATGATGTCAGCAGACAGAGGCAGACATGGGGCTGCGCCAGCAGCTGAAGACTTGAATACAAGTAGGATTTTACTAAATTTAGGGAGGCAAAAGGGGTCCAGGGGGCTAGATGATAGTTTTAACATAATAGGGTTAGAAATACATGATTGTGTTCCTGACCCTATAGTGTTCCTTTAAGCAAGAGTCTGTGAAGAGTAGTCAGGGTTGCCACCTTTTGTGGAAAAAAATAATGGCCTTAATCAATTGTATAATTAATTAGTTATGCGTGACATCACATGATGTAAATCACAAGGAGTGATATCAGAGAAAATTCTGTAAAATCACCAACACACTACTAACAGTTTGATTCTGCTGTATAGATGGATTGCTCCCAGTGTCTCCCTGTCTCCCAGTGTCTCAGTCTCCCAAGTCACCCAGAGTCTCAGTGTCCCTATGTATCACAGTGTCAGTGTCACCATGTCACCCAGTCCCCTAATCTCCCAGTGTCTCAGTGTCCCCATTTCTCCCAGTGTCCCCATGTCTCAGTGTGTCCTCATGTCACTAGGATACTAGAAGACACTGAGAGACATGGGGACACAGTAAGACATGGGGACACTGAGAGACCTGGGGACACTGAGACACTTGAGACCTGGGGACACTGAGAGACATGGGGGCACTTGTGGATACAGACATGGGGAGACTGAGACATTTGGGGACACTGTGAAAAATGAGACACTAGGGACACAGAGACATGGGGACACAGACACTGGGAGACATGGGGACACTTGGAGACATGGGGACACTGAGACATTTTGCAACACTAAGACACTAGGGACACTGATAGACATGGGACAACACTGTCTGTGTTGTTCAGTTCAGTAAATACAGTAAATGTCTCAGCTGACACTGCCCACATGTGTTTAGTAAATTAGAAATGTTATATAAATTACAAAGTGTTTTATTTAAGGAAACATTATGATTAATATTATTAGTCTGTGCAGGACTCTGCGGTTATACAACTAGAAATGGGGCAACAATGCAGCAATGCTGAACCCCAATATCTGGCCCCACTATGGGAACAGTACCACAATCACTGTGACAGTTTCCATAGCAACACAGTATTATAACACTGTGACAGTTTCCATGGTGACAGAGTAATATAGCACTGTGCAGTTTCCATGGTAACACGGTATTACAGCACTGTGCAGTTTCCATGGTAACACAGTGTTATAGCACTGTGCAATTTCCATGGTAACACGGTATTACAGCACTGTGCAGTTTCCATGGTAACACGGTATTACAGCACTGTGCAGTTTCCATGGTAACAGGGTATTACAGCACTGTGACAGTTTCCATGGTAACAGGGTATTACAGCACTGTGCAGTTTCCATGGTAACACGGTATTACAGCACTGTGCAGTTTCCATGGTAACACGGTATTACAGCACGGTGCAGTTTCCATGGTAACAGGGTATTACAGCACTGTGACAGTTTCCATGGTAACAGGGTATTACAGCACTGTGCAGTTTCCATGGTAACACGGTATTACAGCACTGTGCAGTTTCCATGGTAACACGGTATTACAGCACTGTGCAGTTTCCATGGTAACACAGTGTTATAGCACTGTGCAATTTCCATGGTAACACGGTATTACAGCACTGTGCAGTTTCCATGGTAACAGGGTATTACAGCACTATGCAGTTTCCATGGTAACAGGGTATTACAGCACTATGCAGTTTCCATGGTAATAGGGTATTACAGCACTGTGCAGTTTCCATGGTAACAGGGTATTACAGCACTATGCAGTTTCCATGGTAACAGGGTATTAGAGCACTTGCAGTTTCCATGGTAACAGGGTATTACAGCACTTGCAGTTTCCATGGTAATAGGGTATTACAGCACTGTGCAGTTTCCATGGTAACAGGGTATTACAGCACTGTGCAGTTTCCATGGTAATAGGGTATTACAGCACTGTGCAGTTTCCATGGTAACAGGGTATTACAGCACTGTGCAGTTTCCATGGTAATAGGGTATAACAGCACTGTGCAGTTTCCATGGTAACAGGGTATTACAGCACTGTGCAGTTTCCATGGTAACACGGTATTACAGCACGGTGCAGTTTCCATGGTAACACAGTGTTATAGCACTGTGCAATTTCCATGGTAACACGGTATTACAGCACTGTGCAGTTTCCATGGTAACAGGGTATTACAGCACTGTGCAGTTTCCATGGTAACAGGGTATTACAGCACTGTGCAGTTTCCATGGTAACAGGGTATTACAGCACTATGCAGTTTCCATAGTAATAGGGTATTACAGCACTGTGCAGTTTCCATGGTAACAGGGTATTACAGCACTGTGCAGTTTCCATGGTAACAGGGTATTACAGCACTGTGCAGTTTCCATGGTAATAGGGTATTACAGCACTGTGCAGTTTCCATGGTAACAGGGTATTACAGCACTGTGCAGTTTCAATGGTAACTGTAACACACTCACTGAGGGCTATCTCTATAACATTAATTTAGGATTTTATTCACTAAAAGCTGGGAAACCTTCAGAGTTGAGTTACAAGGAGCAGATTTATAACATTCTCCATCCAGTGTGATGCTCAGTTCCTGACATTTTATCACTGTTTAGTGGATACAATTACAGCTTAAACTGCCACCGGAAGTACCAGATCGGCCATGTTTGTTGAGGGGATAGTATTATCAGTTCAGTAACCGGAAGTACCAGATCGGCCATGTTTGTTGAGGGGATAGTATTATCAGTTCAGTAACCGGAAGTACCAGATCGGCCATGTTTGTTGAGGGGATAGTATTATCAGTTCAGTAACCGGAAGTACCAGATCGGCCATGTTTGTTGAGGGGATAGTATTAACAGGTCAGTAACCGGAAGTGCCAGTTCGGCCATGTTTGTTGAGGGGATAGTATTAGCAGGTCAGTAACCGGAAGTACCAGATCGGCCATGTTTGTTGAGGGGATAGTATTAGCAGGTCAGTAACCGGAAGTGCCAGATCGGCCATGTTTGTTAATGGGATAGTATTAGCAGGTCAGTAACCGGAAGTGCCAGATCGGCCATGTTTGTTGAGGGGATAGTATTATCAGTTCAGTAACCGGAAGTGCCAGTTCGGCCATGTTTGTTGAGGGGATAGTATTAGCAGGTCAGTAACCGGAAGTGCCAGATCGGCCATGTTTGTTGAGGGGATAGTATTAGCAGGTCAGTAACCGGAAGTGCCAGTTCGGCCATGTTTGTTGAGGGGATAGTATTAGCAGGTCAGTAACCGGAAGTGCCAGTTCAGCCATGTTTGCTGAGGTCACATGACGGAGGTGGTCTGACCGGAAGTGCCCCTGGTTCGCCATGTTTGTTGAGGGCAGGATGTGGCTGCATGGAATGGCTAGTTCCGGGTTCTTGGTTCCTCATTCAGAGGTTTCGGGGATCCTGAGCCATGCAGTCACTGCCTCCCGGGGACCTGGAGTGTCTGGAGCTGGTGGGGTGCGGGGGGTTCGGCCTGGTTTACCGGGGATGGAGCCGCACTCTGGGCACAGAGATAGCCCTGAAAATGATCCAGGGGGAGAGAGGGTGAGACTAATAATAATAAATAATTAATATAATAACAATAATATAATAATAACAATAATAATAAATAAATAATAAATATAATATATAATAATATATAATAATAACAATAATAATAATAAATAATTAATACAATAATAATATATAATAATAATAACAATTAATATAATAATATAATAATAACAATAATAATAATAAATAATACAATAATATATAATAATAATAACAATTAATATAATAATAAATAATAATATTAACAACCTGTGTATAATAATAATCATAATAATAATAATAACCTGTGTATAATAATATAATAATAATGATAACCTGTGTATAATATAATAATAATAACCTGTGTATAATGTAATAATATTAACCTGTATATAATAATATAACCTGTGTATAATAATAATTAATAATATAATAATAATATAACCTGTATATAATAATAATAATATAACCTGTATATAATAATAATAATCTAACCTGTGTATGATAAATAATATAATATAACCTGCTTATAATACTTTAATATAACCTGTTTATAATAATAACCTGTATATAATAATATAATAACCTGTATATAATATAATAATAATATAACCTGTGTATAATAATACTATAACCTGTATATAATATAATAATAATAATATAACCTGTGTATAATAATACTATAACCTGTATATAATAATAACCTTTATATAATATAATTATAATATAACCTGTATATATTAATATAATCTGTATATCATATTATAATAATAATAACCTGTTAATAATAATAATAATAATATAACATGTATATTTATTTATAAAATATTTTACCAGGAAAGATACATTGAGATTTCTCTCATTTTCAAGTATGTCCTGGGTATATAATAATAATATAATAATATAACCTGTACATAATAATAATATATTAATAATATAACCTGCATATAATGTAATAATATAATAACCTGTATATAATAATAATATAACCTGTATATATAATATAGCCTGTATATAATATAATAATATATTAACCTGAATATAATATAATAATAATATAAGCTATGTGTGGCAAACCTAGCCACTTGGACAATAACTAGAGACTGTACCTTTAAGGGTTGCCAATAGGTCGGGCGAGATACGCGCTTCACACTTATGTAAATGTTCATGTATTTTCTGTATTGCCTGTACTGCTGTTTCAGCCGAATGCAAATGGCGGTTGTGTATGGGGATTTTCTTTCGTTTCACGAACGGCACTTTAGAAAGCCGTTCGTGAACCAAACGTAATATCCCCTGATAGCCCACACACTTAGAGGCGTGTGGCGCTAGTTAACCGATTGCAACACTGTTGCAATCGGTTATTAGAGGCTCTCCTGGGTGGCCGTCGTTCGACTACCGACCATGCGGCGGTCGGCCATCTTGGATCCCTTGTTCCTCAGCGGGTCCGTGTTGTCGAACGCATAGTATTACCAATAGCTATTCGACGGCACGAACACCGCTGAGCCTCCAGGACGTTCGGGAGTTTCAGGACCGTGTTCACTAAAAGTAATCGGTTCTTTTCGTATGTTTGGAAAGAAATGTGTTTTCTGTGCGGCGTTCGGTTATTTTAGCTGGGATCTGAGCGGCAATCTCACGAATGATGCGCCCAGACCCCAGCTATCTACCGAACGTCCATTCGTGTAAATCTACCGTGTATTTTAAAAGTTATAGATTTTTGTATGAATTGCCGGTTCTGCTGCACGAGGGGATAATCCCCTTAACGGTGCATTGTGGGAGGATGATCCCTCTCGTGCAGCGGTGTCTGATGGGAGAAATATGTTGGCATGTAAGTCCCCCATGTAGTCCCCTCTGGGAGTGCCCCTGGGGAGGGACTCAGGAAACCCCTTGCATGGGGACTTGTATAAATTGTCTTGCCGATTTAAAAGGATTTCAGTTGACTCCCAAAACTGTGTCTCGTCCGGTTATTGGGAGGTTGGGGATATTGCCTGGTTGTTTTCAGCGCTTGACTGTGGATTCGTTTCTGGACCAGCGGAATTCGTGGATTTATTATTGGCGTTCCGCTACACTATGTATAATAATAATAATAATATAACCTGTATATAATAAGAATAATAATAATAATAATAATAATATAATAACCTGTATATAATATAATAATATAACCTGTATATTATAATACTAATAATATAATAATATAACAACCCGTATATAATAATATAATAACCTGTATATAATAATTTAATAACCTGTATATAATAATACAATAATAATACCACAAAATGAGCCAGGGGAGAAAGGGTCAGACTACAATAATAATATAATAACCTGTGTAATAATATCCTGTATATAAAAATATAATAACCTGTATAATAATATAATAGCATGTGTATATAATAATAATATCCTGTATATAATATAATAACCTGTATATAATAATATAAAAAATAATATTCTGTATATAATAATAATAACAACCTAATATTATATAATACTACCACAAAATGATCTGGAGGGGGAGACAATATTATATTATAATAATACCCTGTATATAATAATAATATAATAACCTATGTATAATAATAACTCCAAATGATCCAGTGGTAGAGAGGGTGAGACAATTATGATATTCTAATAATATAATAACCTTTATATGATAACTCCAAATGATCCAGGGGGAGAGAGTGTGAGACAATAATAATAATAATAATAATAATATAATACCCTTTATATGATAACTCAAAATGATCCAGGAGGAGAGAGGGTAAGATTATATTATAATATTAACAACCTATCTTTAATAATAATAACTCAAAAAGTGTCCAGGGGGAAAGAGGTTGAGACAACTATGATATAATAATACCCTGTATATAATAATAATATAATAACCTATGTATAATAATAGTAACTCCACATGATCCAGTGGTAGAGAGAGTGAGACAATTATATTATAATATAATAACCTTTATATGATGATAACTCCAAATGATCCAGGGGGAGAGAGTGTGATACAATAATAATAATATTATAATATAATAACCTTTTTATATGATAACTCTAAATGACCCAGGGGGAGAGAGGGTAAGACAATAATAATAATATAATAATAATAATAATAATAATAACCTGTATGTAAGAATAATACCACAAAATGATCCAGGGGAGAGATGGAAAGACTATAATAATGATCACCTGTATATAATAATACCACCAGAAAATGATCCAGGGTGAGAGAATAATAATAATAATACTACCAGAAAATGATCCAGGGGGATAGAGGTAGAGACTATAATAATAATAATAATAATAACCTGAATATGATAATACCACAAAATGATCCAGGGGGAGAGAGGGTAAGGCAATAATAATACCACAAAATGAACCGGGGGAGAGAGGGTGAGACAATAATAATACCCCAAAATGATCCAGGGGAGAGGGCTTAAGAGAATAATAATAATATAATAACCTGTATATAATAATACTACCACAAAATGATCCAGGGAGGGGGGGAGGGGAGGGGAGAGACAATATTATATTTTAATAATACCCTGTATATAATAATAGTATAATAACCTATGTATAATAATAATAATAACTCCAAATGATCCAGTGGTAGAGAAGGTGAGACAATTATGATATTGTAATAATATAATAACCTTTATATGATGATGATAATAACTCCATATGATCCAGGGGGAGAGAGTATGAGATAATATTATAATCTTTATATGATAACTCAAAATGATCCAGGGGGGGAGAGGATGAGATATTATAACCTCACAGAGGGAGAGATAATAACATGTATATAATAATAGCCTTTATAGAATAATAACTCAAAATGACCTAGGGGTGAGAGAGAGCCTGTTTATAATAACCTTTATACTGTGTGACCTCTGACCTTTATATTAATCTGACACTGCACATTGAACAGCACTTCTCATCCAACTCATTATTCCATTGTATGAATATCTTTATACAACTTCAAAAGTCTCTTATTGATGTCATGTCGGAAGGAAATATAGAGGGCAGAGCTGAATGTGGTTCTGGATGAAATGCCTTCGGTGGTTTAAAGGGCACTGTAGCTCCGTATATTGGTTATGTTTGTTTTCTGTATTTCTAGGGATGATCCAAGAGATTTCAACAAGGAGAGAGACATGATGCATAAAGCAAACTACACGTATGTCCTCCGCCTTCTTGGCGTGTATGAGAAGCGAGATGGAGAGCAGATAGAGTATGGCCTAGTGATGGAATACATGCACAATGGCTCTCTTCGGACCCTGTTTGATAAGGTCCCAGATGTCCCATGGGCTCTAAGGTTTCAGATACTTCATCAGGTAGTCCTTGGTATGAATTATCTCCATCATGTTCTCAATCCATCTATAATTCACCGAGATCTCAAGCCCCGTAATGTCCTTCTTAACAAGTACTTGGATGTACAGGTAAGTAGCACTGACTCCGGTTTACATTTCATATGGAGATTTTTTTTAAATGGAAAAACGTCTAAACAATGATGGCGATTTCTGATCACCCTATGCCTGGTACATAGCAGTCCTGGTACACAGCAGTTTTCTTTCCCTGCTGTGCACAAGTTATGTATGCAGTCATGGGAAACAGAAAGTACACTATCTTTGAATTTCATGGTTTTACATATCAGGACATAACAATCATCTGTCCCTTAGCAGGTCTTAAAGGGACACTATTGGAACCCAGACTACCTCATTTCATTGACTCGTTCCGGGTACAGTGTCCCTGACCCCCTTAGTCCTGCAATGTAAATCAGTGCAGTTTTACACTGCGTCATAATTTATTTAAAGGGACACTATAGGCACCCAGACCGCTTCAACGAGGGGGGAGCGACAGTTCCAGAAATACAGTTTTGTTTTCCTGGCACTTATAGTATCCCTTTTACAAAAATAAATCCAAAATGGAGAAGCCATGTGTGAAAAACTAAGTACAACTTTACGTCTTTATAGGAATTTAGATGCCAAGTGGCCAACTTGTGCTGCTAATCAAATGCCCTTGATTGATTATCAGTAAGTGTGACAACCTCTGTAAAAGCTAAAGTTTTAGTAGTTTGCTGGTCTGGAGAATTCAGGTGTGTGTTAACACAATGCCAAGGAGGAAAAGCATAAGCAATGGTCTTAGAGAAGCACTTGTTGTTTCCCATTAAACTGGGAAAAGTTATAAGGCCATTTCCAAACAATTTAAAGTCCATTGTTCTACAATGGAAAAATTATTCAAAAGTGGAAAACATTCAAGACGGTTGCCTATTTTCCCATAAGTGGACGTCCCAGCAAATTCACCCCAAGCTCAGACCGTGCAATCCTCAGAAAAATTGCAAAAAACCCAGGAGTTACATCTCAGACTACAGATATCAGCATGTTAAATTATAAAGTTCATTAACAGTAGAACTATAAAAAGACTGAACAAGTATGGTTTGCTTGGAAGAGTTGCCAGGAGAAAACCTCTTCTCTATAAAAAGAAAATGGCAGCACGGCTTACGTTTGCAAAGTTGCATCTGAACTAATCACAAGATTTCTTGAGCAATGTTCTCTGGGCAGACCAGACCAAAATGGAGATGTTTGGCAGAAACCAAACCCAACATGTCAGCACAAACACCTCATACAAACTGTCAAGTACCTTGGTGGAGGGGTGGTGATTTGGGCTTGTTTTGCATCCACAGGACCTGGGAACTTTGCAGTCATTGAGTTGACCATGAACCTCTCTATATACCAAAGTTTACTACAGTCAAGTGTGAGGTCTGTCTGACAGCTAAAACTTGACCGAAATTGCTTCATGCAACCGGACAATGATCACAAGCATTCCAGTAAATCTACAACAGAATGGCTGAAAAGAATCAAGTTGTTGCGATGGCTCAGTCAAAGTCCAGACCTCAACCTGATCGAAATCCTGTGGTGGGATCTTAAGAGAGCTGTGCGTAAACAAATGTCGGCAAAGCTCAATGAACTTGAGCAACGTTGAGCAAGCCAAACATTTTCGACAATGTGAGAGACCAATGAAGTCATACAGAAAACAATTACCGTATATACTCGTGTATAAGTCGATCTCATGTATAAGTCGACTGCAGTTTTGTGACCAACAATTGTGAAATATGATATGCCTCGTGGATAAGTCGAAGGTAAAACTTGGGGCTATGAAATTCTGTGATTTTTATAATTATATACACACACACTCATACAAACACACACTCTGCATTATATACACACACACACTCATACAAACACACACTCTGCATTATATACAAACACACACTCATACAAACACACACTCTGCATTATATACACACACACACTCATACAAACACACACTCTGCATTATATATACACACACACTCATACAAACACACACTCTGCATTATATACACACACACTTATACAAAAACACACTCTGCATTATATACACACACTCTGCATTATACACACACACACTCATACAAACACACACTCTGCATTATATACACACACACATTCATACAAACACACACTCTGCATTATATACACACACTCTGTGTATATAATGCAGAGTGTGTGTTTGTGTAGTGTGTGTGAACTGGGTGGGGGGAGGGCATTTTTATTATTTTAATTTTTTTTTCATTTTAATATTTTTTTAATTTTTTTTTTTTTGTCCCCCCCTCCCTGCTTGTTAACTGGTCAGGGAGGGGGTTATCTTAATCCCTGGTGGTCCAGTGGCATGGGCTGTGAAGTGGGGGGGGCCGGCAGGAAGCATTTACTTACCTTTCCTGCAGCTCCTGTCAGCTCCCTTCTCCTCCGTTCCGGTCAGCTCCACTGTAAGTCTCGCGGTCTGGTTGCCGCGCGGATCGTTGCCATGGCTCTGACGGCCGCGGCTCTCTAAGTTGCTATAATACAGACAGTGACTCGAGTATAAGTCGAGTGGGGGTTTTTAAGCACAAAAAATGTGCTGAAAAACTAGACTTATACTCGAGTATATACTGTACTTCACATTATTTCTGCTAAACGTGTGTCTACAAGCTATTGAATAATAAGGTGTAATTCGTTTTTCATACATGGCGTCTCCGTTTTAGCTTTATTTTTGTTAAATAAATCATGACACTGCGTTACATGTCCTGTTGATGTTCATCTGAGGTTGTATTTACCTAATGTTAAGACCTGCTAAGGAACATGTGATTATCTTTTGATTTGTAAAACCATGGAATTCAAAGAAGGCCGTACTTTCTATTTCTCATGACTGTATGTGCAGAATCGCGATATGTAGCAGAGATTTTTTTTGGTCTCCTGTTTTCTTACCCGTATTGGTGAATGTTACACAGAAGCTTTTTGTTTTGTATTTTGCACACTATGTAACATGCTGAAAAAGGAAATCACAACACATTATTTTTTTTCCTTTTCCTCCCAGATTACGGATTTTGGACTGGCTAAAAATGCAGGCTCCACTACCACCTCATTAAATCAGTCAGGGCCGGGAACGATATCGTACATGCCACCTGAGTCTTTCAGAGTTTTAAACTACAAGCCAACAAAAAAGTTTGATGTTTACAGGTGAGACTGGATCGGGAATGAGTGTGGGCATTGCAAATGGAAGCTGCTGTTTCTTAGAATGTGACTATTCTTTGGTTTTCTTGACCAACTGGGCTCTGTCACTTTTAGGTACTGGTTAAAGAAACATGCACAATCCTTAAGCTGCATTAAGGGAAAAGTTGTTTTCCTGGCACTATAGATTTCTATAGTGCCCCCCCTCTCCAGTAGGGCAGAAGGGGTTAAGAGCCCCTTCTGTCACTTACCTGAGTCCAGCACTGATGTCCCTCAGTGCTGGTTCAGGCTCCGTCAACCCGCGAACTACAGCCGGAGGCAATGTCCGTGCTTGCATTAGTATTCCCACATAGGAAAACCTTGGGAACCTGGCAACCCGGAAGCAATCTAGTGGCTGTCTGGTAGAGGTGGAGCTAAGCCTCAAAGGTAATTATTGCAGTTTATCAAAAACTGCAATAATTACTTTCCAGCGTTAAAGGACCTGGGACTATGCACCCAGACCATTTCAATGAGCTGAAGTAGTCTGGGTGCCTATAATGTCCATTAAACTTGCTGAAGAGATTTAGTGGTTAACAGAGTGTCCTGTCACAAAACTGTCAGACAGGCGGGAGGGTGCTTTTTCAGATTATGTTGGGGCACGAAGCATAAAGTGATGCTTCTCGTGGTGGCACACTGGATTGGTGCTTCTCGTGGTGGCACACTGGATTGGTGCTTCTCGTGGTGGGACACTGGATTGGCAGCTGTGCCGGGGTCTCGCCGTCTCTCACCCACCCTGGATCCACCTCCCAGTGGGTGAACCTTTCCTAAATCCAGAGAGCGTAGCAGAAACAAATCAAGCTCTTACAAGAGCTTACTCTGGGGAGTAAGTGATTACAGCAATCCCCAGAGTGTAGGTATCCCTTCCCCCGAGCATGAGCCAAGGCTTCAAGAAAGTTGCAAGTAGGTCTGGTTTATTGAGGGCTACCTGCCCGGTATTCTTGCAAGTGTCCACCAGATGGACACTCCCCTAGGGGACCTGATGGAACAATGGGACACATATTGGATATCAGCCAATCACAGACAATACAAACAAAACACTCCCACAGTGACATCACAATCCCTCCTCTCTATCCTGGAGATAATTGGGAAGTAATCAAATTATCTCCCAGGACAGAGGCAAGACTCCATTAACCACATGGTTACAAAAAGACATAAAATTACACAATGTTACAATTACTACATAAAACATATACCTGCAACATATCCCCAGATATCTTAGATCTGAGAGCACATTCTTACCGAATGACACTCAGATCACATACAGTTCAATCGCCATGGAGCCAAAGTCTTTTCCATAGTCTTTCATTACACAAATAGGCTCCATGGCATAGCTATCTGGGGTAGCACTACTCACATACTGAAAGTCCCGAACGCCCCGGCAGAAATACACAAACCTTTCTGCAGGGGAAAATACCGCTATCAGCACAGGGGCCATAGTGGGAAGGCAGGAGGCGAAGGGCACTTTGTCACAGTAAGTAACCCTTTATTTAGGGGAACAGCAAGGGAGCTGTACCTAAATAGGCTTCAAAACACTCCAACATTAAATACATTTTTATTTGTAATGTGAGAAATTTCCTTGAGAGGGTTATGCCAGGTTGGCGTTGGCCATTCTAATTTATTATACAGATAATACGTAAAAATGTATATAAAAAAAAAAAAAGTACATATATTTAAAAAAATATTAATTAATTAGTATTACATTTTAAAGGGACACTATAGTCACCTGAACAACTTTAGCTTAATGAAGCTGTTTTGGTGTATAGAACATGGCCCTGCAGCCTCACTGCTCAATCCTCTGCCATTTAGGAGTTAAATCCCTTTGTTTATGAACCCTAGTCACACCTCCCTGCATGTGACTTGCACAGCCTTCCATAAACACTTCCTGTAAAGAGAGCCCTATTTAGGCTTTCTTTATTGCAAGTTCTGTTTAATTAAGATTTTCTTATCCCCTGCTATGTTAATAGCTTGCTAGACCCTGCAAGAGCCTCCTGTATGTGATTAAAGTTCAATTTAGAGATTGAGATACAATTATTTAAGGTAAATTACATCTGTTTGAAAGGGAAACCAGTTTTTTTTTTTTCATGCAGGCTCTGTCAATCATAGCCAGGGGAGGTGTGGCTAGGGCTGCAAAAACAGAAACAAAGTGATTTAACTCCTAAATGACAGTGAATTGAGCAGTGAAATTGCAGGGGAATGATCTATACACTAAAACTGCTTTATTTAGCTAAAGTCATTTAGGTGACTATAGTGTTCCTTTAAGGTCTTGCAAATACCACATTTAAAAAATGTAAAATAAAACACACACATCATAGGATAGTACTGTTTTAAAATGATATTAAGGCAAAGTACAGATGTTCACTTGCTGTGTTTGCTCTATTACAAAAGTGTGGTTTATGGACCCCTGGTAAATACTTTGAAGGAGGTTTTTGTAGCTACCTGTAACGGAACCGCTGGCACCCCGACCGGGTACCTTCTGCCGACGGATGCTCCTAGTGCTTTCCGAGGACTCCAAGCACTCTAGCCGACACCATAACCACTGCAGTCCCCACGAACCGCCGCAGCTTGGTTGGGGTCTCGCCGTCTCCACCCACTCTGGACCCAGGACCAGGGTCCAGCTTCCAGCAGGTCCACCTCTCTCCGAATTCCAGAGAGCAGGAACAGGAACAAGCTCTTAGCAGAGCTTAGTGATTATACCCTGGGGAGTATAGTGATTATAGCAATCCCCAGAGTGTAGTTTCTCCAATCCCCAAACATGAGCCGAAACTTCATGAAGGTACAAGATGATCTGTTTATTGGCACACAAAGAACCTTCTTTTATGCAGGTTTCCCTGAGATAGGACCACCCACAGGGTTTTACACAACAACCAATCATAAACGTACATTACAGAAACACTCCCAGCAATTACACACAAAGATCCTCCCCTCTGCCTGTGATATAATTATGTTGCACAATAGTTTAACATAATTAACACAGGCAGTAAAAATACAGTTTTATACATGTACTATAACTTTAAAACTACACATCCCATCTTCATAATTACATATTTGGAATCAGCACACTTTAAACATAAACATAACCAAAAATCAGACAAATCCATCCGGGGGTTAAAAAGTTAGCTGGAGGTCCCTTTATGACCGACCGCAAGCACATTTTCCTGCCCAAAACAGTTCCATAGATTTGGGCTGTGCGGTCGGTCTATTTCAGGCTGAAAAAAACGACTAAGTCCCATCGCCGAATGGGACTTAGTCTCTGCAGCTGTAAAACCAGTAGGGGAGAAGGTAGGGCTCAGCGGTGTTCGCGGAAATGTGTAGCCGATTTTAGTTCCATGAATTTGGCTACACGTACCGCTGACCTCGTTCGCATTAACAAAGATGGCCGCCGCCACGTGTTCGGCAATCGAACAAAGGCCACCCAGCATTGTCAATTAAGCTGCGGTTAACCGCAGCTTCTGGGAGGTAAATTGCCGACACACTCCCAATACAGTTGGTCCGTCTGTGTGGTACTTGGTTCAGTAAGCCCCATTTACTGAACCAAGTGGGAAATAGCTAGGAACAAAGGGTTTTAACCAGGTCTGGGGACACAGGGGACACCGTCTTAAAGGGGCAGTGTCCCAAACAAGTCTGGGGACACCGTCTTAAAGGGTCAGTGTTCCAATCTTCCTGATGTCCCAAAAAGGTGTTTAAAGGGCCAGCACCAGTCCCATAACCCACAAGGCAGGTCTTAAAGGGCCAGCAGCAGCACAATATAAATCCATTAGCACAAATAAGGTTTGTAAAGTGCCATACAACCCAGGGCCGTAGTCATGAGGCAGGAGGCTGGCACTCAGGCTCCTCCAACCGCCAGGGGCAAATGGCAACTTGTCACCTAAAAATCTAGTGACGAAAGGCATTTCGTCACACTACCTAATCCTCCCTCTATTTCCCAAACACAGAGAAGCATTGTGAACCCTGAGCATTATAAGCAAGTGAATATGCCCCAAAAAATCAAATATGGGAACTCTAACACTATTACATAACTGAATACAAATTAGGTGGGTGAAAAATATTCACACTAATGTGCTACAAAGAATTATATTCATCAGTCACGCAAGAGGTTACTGAAAAACTATATGCTGGGGGCTGTGGGGGTTGAGAGGGACATCTTCCACCTCTAGTCCTAAAGTAAACACTGTGATTGACAGCCTGGGGAGGTGTGGCTAGGGATGTAGAAATAGTGATTTAAAGCTTAAACGAGAGTTGATCTTTAGGACAGCAGGGACATAGTCTACATACCAAACTATTTTATTAAGCTGAAGTGTTTTTGGTACGTAGAAAGACCCTTCGAGATAAATATCCCTTGAATTTTCTTTAATATGCATGACATTGAGATATAGATTTGTAGACCCCAGATAATATTTTCAATGTTTTTTAGTTTTTTCCCCTTCCTATTAAAATGACTTTTGAACATGCTTATTATTCTAGCAGCCAATGAGGCATACATGTATGAATATCTCCTCTCACTCACACCCTGACTTCACCTCCCCGACCTACTGATTGTACCTTTCATTGTATTACAGCTTCGCCATCTTAACGTGGTCGGTTCTGTCAGGTCAGGAGCCGTATGAGGGTACGTTCCATCACATAATCTCCTCTGTCCTTGTACGTCTGCTGTTTTTTTGTTGTATACAGCCCTAATAAAACTACCTTAAGGGAACACGTCAGACACATAAAGCACGTCAGGCTACTGATTCATAAACCAGCTGATATCAGTAGAAATCAACACAGTTATAATTGGGGCGGGTTGTCCGTCAGAAAGCCAGGAAGGTGTTTTTTCTGCTTCTGCTGCATCCATTCAGCTAATGCAAGCGGCAGGGGCACTTGGTTAACATGCTCACCTGTCATTCGCCAATAGGAAAGCCACGCTCGCTATATAAGAAATCTGATTGTGATATTCAGACTGAAAGTTTGTATTGCGGAGGGGATGCAGAGCAGGTCTGCAGCTATTTCAAGCTGTTTTTCTTTATATACCACCAAATGCTGTAAAAAATGCATACATATTTATATGGAGGTATGTCTACTAAATTGTAAAAAAATACAAAATATTGGTGTGTTCCTTTATAATGATACGACACCTGAAAATGTATTTTTGTGGCGGTATCTCTAGCACACCATTTATGCTTCGCTTAAACGTTTGTATGGGAGAACTATGATTGTGCTGATACTGTGTCTGTAGCGTTGCAGGATTCTTCTTCACTGGCACCACCTACTGTATCTGTCAGGAAAGTCAAGCTATGATAGTTAACGTTAAAACATACTATATGTGTAACAGCTCTACCCAAGTTTATAAGCCTGTCTGTTTCCCCATGGTGCAGAGACCTCTAATGGTGAAACTCAGAACTCCAATAATGCTGAAGTGCCGTGACCTTTGGTAGTAGAATTGCCAGTGGTGTACTTGTTAGTTCACCCAAGGTGTCTGTAAATCTAGAATATTGTGCCCTAGGAGGGGACAATGTCTGGCCGGGAGTAGGAGTAAGCGCAGATGTTGATACCTGGCTGGAAATAGGAGTGGACACAGGGATTGACCTGTGTTCCTTCCTGGCTGGGAGTAGGAATGGGTGCCGAGGTCGAGTTGGGAGTAGAAGAGTGTGAAGGGGTCAATGCCAGGCCAGGAGTAGGAGCGGGCGCAGGGTGGATGTCTGGCCAGGAGTAGTTTTGATCCAAGTAGAAGCATGTATAGTGTTTTATTGTGCTTTAATAAATACTTATAAATAGCTGCACAAAACAAATTCATAAAAAGTGACACTCCCCTTTCCAAGTGAGTTTGCCACAAGCTCCTGGGGGAGCCTGCTTGCCAGTCTCATGCCCACAGACTATAGACCCTGTAAAATGTAATGTAAAAGTCTACGTTTGTGTATTTGAAGCTTGTTAAGCCTAATTGCTACTTTGTAGCAATTTCCACCGCAGTGTTCTAAGTGTTCGTGGTGGTGTATGAGGTGGCGGCCATCTTGTTAGCATGAACACAGGCAGCTGTGTTTGGTCGTCAAGTTCATGAAACAATTTTCGGACCCTGAAACTCCCGAACACCGCTGGACTTCCATGATCGCCTATGTACGGTTCTACAACACGTAGAAAGACACTGTTCGGTGGAAACATTCCCACGAACAAGGGAAGCAAGCTCCAGGGTAAGAATATTGATTATGTTCAGTAGTTTGTTTGGTTTTAAACTACCGACCTAGACTGAACGCAAGCCCCGATTCTCTGTTTTGGGTATGGGACCATGCGTGCGGTTGGTCAAATTATGACTTCCCTGAAATTCTTGAACCGATCTGGTGATTATTGGATATGTAGGTCACCCAGATCGGAGCTCTCAGGAGATTTGTGAGATTTTGAGGTATTTTTAAGGTACTATTGGGGTGTTTGTGAAATGTATTTTTTGCGCATGGAGATCAGACACCCGACGTCGTGAACACCGTTGAGACTTCCATCTCTACATATGTTTGGCTAGATTCGTATGGGAAGAGCGGCGTTCGGTGGGAGCAAGCTCCCGAGCGAGGGACATAGACTGAACCTACCCACGAACCGCTACGTTTGGTATTTTGACTCTATTAAGTATTCTCAAAAGAGACCGACCGCACAGCCTGAATTCATGGAACTCTTTAGGGCAGGAGCCTCGTGTGCGGTCAGTCCATGGAAATCCTGAACCAATCTGGGTGATATTTGGATATGTTGGTCACCCAGATCGGGGCTATCAGGCGATGTGACTTTTGTGGGGTTTCCATGGGTTTTAAGGGTACTTTCGGGGTACTGCTGAAATGTGTGTTTTTGTGACTGGAGATGATTACATTAGTACAATACCTGATCCAATTATCTCCCAGGCACAGAGGAGAGATTATCTGATTTTGTATGGGAGTGTCCTGGATCTGAGAGCCAATGTAATTGTGTATTTGTTTCTACTGTGAGCGAAAGAAATATATACTGGTGCTAAATACAAATAGATAATTACAGTGTTATACACAAATACTATTCACAATAGCTGCTGTAACACCAAGTGTAGTCTTTACACATACACCAACCACATAAACCAAAATACAAAAAAAGGTGTAGCGCTACATACAAATCAGAGTCCGTCCAAAATCAGAATGCGTATTTCTCCAATGTTCTCACAGTAGTGTTGGTATTCTGGCAGAAATTGCCTTAAAACAGAATTTAACTCCAATAGTGTGAAACTGTTATATATATAGAATTATACATATATTAAAGAAAATCACTCACATTCTCCTGAGCTATTTACCTAGCTCAGGGATAAAACGCTCACAGATCCGTAAAGGCGACCTTCCCCTTCTTTAAGTAAGGTAATCTTGCACGATGTCAGCTAGGGCTTAAACAGTGTATGGTGCAATATTGTCTGAAGCCAGCAGTCCAATATAAAATAGGTATATATTATACTCACAAGGATAGAGCCATAAATAGGCTCGGTCACAGCACGTTGTGTAGTTCAGGACTACACACCTATTAGCAGGAACCAGTAGCCCCAAGTGTATATGTAAAATACTTTTATTAGATGATCTCAAATTAAAATTCTAATGGCCAATTAGAAAATCAATAAAAAAACATCATAATCAAAAATCAATATAAAATGTGCAAAATATAAAATACTTTGAATAAAGGTGATATGGATGCGTTTCGCCGAGCACCTTTCGGCTTCCTCAGCTGGGTATATTTCTTCAGTGCAATCCCCCGTCTATCCAGAGTCCTGCTTAAGTACCTTATCCATACATCTCGGCATGCTGTGCAGCTGTTTATTCTCGTGCCAATTTTCTAAAGTTTTTGGCGGGCGATGTGTGTGTTCCAAGCCTCCCTCTCGCTGCTCATTACTTCCGCATATAACCTCATAATCTTCTTTGCTGATCGTATTCCTCATGCTGTATAACTGTCCACAAAAAAAAAATCTACAATCTCTCATATTGTGTGATCGTATATTAGTTCCAATTATAGTTAGAGAGACCAGGGAAAAAAGAGGGAAAATGCAACTAATATGTATGAAATAAAACAGGTATACGCTTTCGCATCACATCGATTTTCACAAATACATCATTGCATAAAGATATATGTCAGTGTCAGTGTTACAAGTTGTATTTGGCAAATGTAGCAAAAAAAGAGTTCAAACCTTCGCATCACGTTAATCTTCATAAATAAATCATCACGTGAAGATACAGATCTATGATGCAAGTTGTATCTGAACACAATGAATCAACACACCTCTTAATCCGTAAATAGCTTTTACAAATATCTAATGTGTTTCAAATAGTTGATAAAGAATCTTAAAGCTGTATCTGCTCTTATACATCCTATATGTTCCAAAGATGCCATATCGTAAAAAAATTGGTACATTCTGTGTAGTTGTATATATTTATACGATATGATTCTTTATCACTATGCCTGTTTCTTCTAAGTAGGGATATATATATTAAAATATGTGTCAACTAACACCTACCTAGGGAATGGTTCTTCTAAAAATAGGTGGAACTATAAAAAAACAATAAAATTATATCCAGATAATCTTTAAAAAAAATATATATATATATATATGTGTGTGTGTGTGTGTATGGAATGCATTGGGTAGAATAATCTAGCCCTGGAGAGTGGAGAAAATGGAAATAATTGGGATAGGAATAAGTAAGTGAAAGGTCTCTACTAGTAAAGACAAGCCCCCATAAAAGCTCTTGAAAGTAAATACATAAAATTAGGTATAAAAACCTACACGTACCAGGCGATCCCTAAACCAATAAAAGGTGAAGTCTAATATACAAATAAATAAATAGCTATAAGAAGTGGAGTGCGAAGTAAAACCAGTACAGATAGAGGAATTGGCAATAGCAAACTTATAGACAGATAAAATGCAATCTGAAAAACGAACACTAGATGGCAGCCAAGTACTGAGCGATCTCACATAGGAGGGGAATGTTCACGAAACAATCAATAATCAGCAGACATAAAGTATATAAATAATAATAATAATAATAATAAAGTCCAAATATGACCTAAAATGTTCTGTGACTCCAAAGAATCTGTACAGTCTTATCTGTTGTGTAATGTACCATTCAGTAGTCCAATCCTTAGAAAGAGGAGTCCAAATTGATGGTATAACGATAAAAGTTGGTAACTGATGTTCTGGATACCAAATGTTTGATGTGGAGATAGGACCTGCTAAGAAATAATTCTACTGTCACAGTCAACACACTTTGTAACTATCCATTGAAAAGATAGTTACACTCACGTGTCAGACTATAAACATACTATAACCCATAATGGTAAAATGAAAGCAAAAATTTATCAAAATGTTGCATGAAAGATACTATTACTCACATACCACTATAGCAGGTAGATGGTAATATTACTTGCCCATATGTATAAGCTAAAAATAAGAGGAAGCAGTGCTTTTCAATTAAATACTTCAAATTTATTAGTCAAAATTAGAGTTAAAATCCACTCACGAACATGAAGTGTAATAAAGCAGCAAATAAGTCCTGGGAGTCTGCAAGAACGGGTAATGTTGAAAAAATACTGTGGAAGATCCTGCCCCCGGCCGGTGAGGTGATCTTGCTGTGCTAGGAGAGATGGAGCCCTCTTCGCGTGCGTTACACTTATTATCCGCTCTGCGTTCCACGGTACTCGGTAGCTGCAGTGATGTCAGTATATATATATATATATATATATATATATATGTGTGTGTGTGTGTGTATATATATATATATATATATATATATATATATATATATATATATATATATATATATATATATAAAAATTTAAAATATCAACATCCCCTGCACTCACGCTTGAAGTATTCCAAATGCCGGGCGCACCACCAAAGCTCCAATAGGTATAACTTCCACAAGAAAAGGCTGCTCTCCGGACTTAAAATCAAAGGTTTTATTGAAAATATTTAAAAATGATGACCAACGTTTCGGTCCCCGATCGGGACCTTCCTCAGGGTCAGAGACAACAGAACAACAGTAAACAGTGTACAAAATGACAATATATACCATTACATTAAGTGAAATAACTCACCCAGGTGTTCTATTCTCGTTTCCCGCCGGCACCCAGTGAATTTCCGGGTATGCGCGCGCACGTCAATGCGTGCTCCGCCCCCTCATCATTGTATACACGGTTGCTAAGGAGACCGGTCTATGTGGCACGTAACGTAACATGATGAGGGGGCGGAGCACGCATTGACGTGCGCGCGCATACCCGGAAATTCACTGGGTGCCGGCGGGAAACGAGAATAGAACACCTGGGTGAGTTATTTCACTTAATGTAATGGTATATATTGTCACTTTGTATACTGTTTATTGTTGTCCTGTTGTCTCTGACCCTGAGGAAGGTCCCGATCGGGGACCGAAACGTTGGTCATCATTTTTAAACATTTTCAATAAAATCTTTGATTTTAAGTCCGGAGAGCAGCCTTTTCTTGTGGAAGTTATATATATATATATATATATATATATATATATATATATATATATATATATATATATATATATATATATATATATATATATATATATATATAAATAAACTTAAAGGGGTATCTACCTATTTAAAAAAATATGAAATAATTATTCTAAAAAATGACACATCTCAAATCTGAGTTAAGGCAATAGGGAATAAGGGTATTCAATTCAAAGATCCACTTCATTTCTTCTTTACTTAATTTCACATCAAAAGTGCCTCCTCTCCAGTCCTTCTCTACTCTTTTTAACCCTAAAAATACGGTGCTTATCGGTGATTGATTATGAAATTGTTCATAAGGGAGGGGTACACTCCTTTTTATCTGCTCCTTTTAGGATATTCCTACTGTGTTCCTCGATCCTACTGTGGAGTGCTCTAGTGGTTTTCCCTACGTAGTTTAAACCGCAAGGGCTTTGTATCACATTATCCGTATGGCATGTAATAGCTTTTCTTATTTTATGTTCTTTCCCTTCCTTACTCTTAAAGTGCATTATTCTTCTTTTTTTATTTCCCCATTTTTCTACATGCCAAGCATTTGCCACATCCGAAGAAGCCTTTTTCCTTGTTAAAAAACATATCGGTCTTATTTTTATCTCTAATGAAGCTGGAAGTTAAAATACTTCATAGATTTGTAACGCCTCTATGTATAAATCGAGGTTGTTCCGGTAGGAAGATTGGATCTTGGCAGATAATAGGCCTAATACTGTAATTTTCCGTACTATAATTACAGATAAAGCGCACCCCTTCCATATTTTGTTTCACTCTATCCTTATATACTAGGAGATTTTTACGTTCTGTTTCCTTTACCTTTATCCTTGCTTCCTCTAATCTGGTTTCCTCGTATCCCTTCTCTAAAAAGTCTCTTTTTATTTTTATCGATTGATTGTCATAACTCTCTATATCTGTACAGTTACGCCTAATCCGTAAAAACTGGACTCTAGGGGAATTCTCCAACCAAGGGGTAAAGTGACAGCTTTCTCTTTCAATGAAGCTGTTGGCATCCACGGTTTTAAAAAAGTTCTTAGTCTTAATTTCCCCTTCTTCTATAAAAATAATTAAATCTAAAAATGATACTTCCTGGTCACTCCAGGTACTAGTAAGGCTGATTCCCCATGTATTAGAATTTAAAAAATCTAAAAATTCTTCCAGAAGTTTAACTCCTCCCTTCCAGACAAAAAAGTCATCAATGTAATGGCCATAGGTAACCAAGCTCTCCCCCCAGCCATGTCCATCATATATAAAATGTTGTTCCCAATATGACATAAATAAATTGGCGTAGCTGGGGGCGAACTTGGTACCCATGGCCGTCCCATTAACTTGCAAAAACAATTCCTCTTTAAACCAAAAAAAGTTATTCTCCAGGATTAACTTGATCCCTTCCAAAATATATTTGATCTGGATATCAACAATATTCAAGCTATTTCTTAAATTATCTACAGCTTTATATCCATATTCATGGGGTATGCTGCTATACAAGGCTGCAACATCGCACGTAACTAGTAAAAGACCTTCTTCCCACACACAGTGATTTAGTAAGTTGGGTACCGCTATAGTGTCTTTTATATAGGATCTTGTATTCTGAACTATAGGTTGAAGTTGCAGGTCAATAAAGTGGGATAGTCTACTTGAGATGGCGTCCATCCCTGCAACTATAGGTCTACCCGGGGGATTGGTAACACTCTTGTGGACTGAAGGTAAAAAATAAAAGACCGGAATTTTTGAATGTAAAATATTAATGAAATCAAATTATTTTTTTATTCAAAATCTCTAAATCTAGACCCTTTTAAAAAAAAAAAAATCTCTAAATTTTTCTTGAATCCTCAAGCTGGGCTTTTGCCACCAATTTTTTATAGGTGTTTTTATCTGTCAAAATCCTTTTCGCCTCTTTATTATAAAATTCTTTGGACATAATAACAATACCCCCTCCCTTGTCTGCTGACTTTATAATTAGGTTCTCATTATAACCTCATTATAAGACCAGCTGTGGCTACCAATAAACCAGTTCCTCTTCACCTTCAACATAGAGCCTCGTCTCATGTATGGAGGGGACAGCTATATTCACTCTGGGGATATCTTTATACTCCCCTGGAATTGTAATCACTTGCTCTTTTAAGAGCCTATTGCTACACTCTCTTGGAGGAGAGGTCTACCCACTGGAAGCTGGATCCTGGTCTTGGGTCCACTGTGGGTGGAGGACAGCGAAACCCCAACCAAGCTGTAACACTGGAAGTGGGGACTACAGTGCTGATAGTGTCTGGTGAAGTGCTTGGAGTACTCGTGAGCACTAGGAGCATTGATTGGCGGAGGCACCTGGTCCTGGTGACAGGCAGTCCATCACAAGGGATTATCCTGTTTTCTGTGGTAGTGTCATGGACGTGTTTACTGTTACTCCAAATTGTATAAAAGCAGGCCATATGGCCAGATTAAAGACATTCCAGCTTGTACTCCCAGAACTATGTGTTGTCTGGTTACTGGGAGGGGAAAGGGCTGTTCTTTAATCACTGTGCCAGTGTGGAGGAATCAATGGAGAAAGTCCTTGTAAGGACTAGAGCTCCCAGGACTGAATGTCGTCCACTGCCTTGGGGTGTCTAGAGCGAATTCCCCATTCGGCTCCAGTAGGAAGCAGTTCCAGGATCCCTGTCAAGCCACGGCGACTGTGGGCAGAAGTGCTGTGGTCCTTGGCAGAGGTACCCAGCAAGGGGCACAGGAAGCTTCGTTACAGTGACAATCCATAAAAAGTGCATCAAAGTGTCTTGAACATGTTCTCATGCAAAATAAATATTCAAGTGACAGCAGCAATTCACAATACCAATGTAAATACACTAGTAAATCACAAACGCCAAACTTCAAGTACTGTGTTATAATCACCACACTTGAGTAGAAATGATTTGTGGCAATAAAAGACCAAAAACAGGTATACTTGCATCAAATCCTAATGTGCGATCAAAGATTGTATTCCTAGTGTAATACTGTGATAAAATGTAAAAAGACTGGATATCTAAATAGTTGAATTAACAAGTGCAGAATGGCTGGATTCCTACTCTAGACTATAGTGCCCAGGGAGGAACAACCCCTTGAGTACGTGGGATCCACTAGTGCCAGATGCGTAGACTCGCCACCAGCCGAAAATCCTTAGCTTGAAACTTTATTCCATTCCACAAGTGATAAATACAAAGTACTACCGACTGTAGGATCCTACACTCAAAATACCTCCTTATCTCTAATGATTCTCCCCTGTCAGCCCCGGCGTACTGCGCCGTCCAGGTTCGAACGTGCACTTACGGCTCACAACGAGTTTTGCACTGACTCCTGGGGCTCTCTTAAGCATGATAAGTCCTCCCACATTCCTCTGGTTGCTGGAACTTCCTATGCTGTATGGGTTGATGCCCGACTGGGATTAGAAGCGGGCGCAGAGGTCTGCTCGGAGAATAAAACCTATTTTTAATTCTATAATAATTATTGATTAGATGTAAGACTGAACTTTACAAATTATTTGCATGTTCGAGACCCTTTCATGCACTTTTTGTGAATTGTCACTTTTTATGAATTTTTTTGTGCAAGAATTTTAAATCTCCAAATCGGTTTTACCAGAACTGCATATGGTTTCTTCATACATTGGTCAGTAGAACGCAAACACCAAGTATAACTTGTTATATTCCTTTTATATAATTTGTGCCACCTTTTTCATCGGATTCAGTTTTATTGTGCTTTAGTTGCAGACAACATGATGATTAAACTACTTATACCGAATGGCAGCAGGCCAGACATGGACCTGGTTAAAAAGTGGACTTCTGAGAAGATGGTTCCAGAAGCTATTGATCTGATGATGGAATGTTGGAGTGAAGATCCAGAAACGAGACCCAGTTTCTCTGGTAAGATTGTGTTGGTTTAAAATGCTAATCAGAAACTGTCCTCATTAACGGGCCGTGACAATGTCTTCCACCCATGGTGTCCGTTTAATAAAAAGATATATCGAATACTAATAAGTTTTAATATCTCGTGGTAGAGCATTGAAACGGGATCTGTCACAGCTCTGCAATCTACACCATTCAATACAACTGTCTTGTTTAAACATTTTTATTCATGAGAAGCTCAGTTTTCTTTTAATTTTCTTTATTAACCCCTTAAGGACACATGACGTGTGACATGTCATGATTCCCTTTTATTCCAGAAGTTTGGTCCTTAAGGGGTTAAAGGTTCAGCAAATGTCAACCAAGGCACAGCCAGGGCACACATTGCAAATGAGGAGAAATAGCAAAGATGGCAGCACCCAGTTACTGGATAAAGATCTGTGAATTTCTTCTTTTCTTTTTTTTTTCTCCCCTCACAAATTCACATTTATTAAGGAAACACTATAGTGTTAGCAAAACAAACCTGTATACTTAAGATTGCAGTGTTCTCCCCTGTCTTTAGGTTAAGGGCCCTCCCAAAAAATGTAAATAAAAAAAACAGGAGGAATAAAGGTTTTAGTCACCCTTTATCTAGCTCCAAGCTACAGTTCCTGCAACCGCTCCAACTGCTGCCCGCAACAGCACACTGACTTTTTTCTTTTTCATCCAATCCAATGGTCGTCAGAGGAGAATTGTAGATGAAAAGCGCACCCAGGTTTGCTGTAAGAGCGGAGTGTGACAGAAAAACAGCCACTAGATGTGTTGCTCTATCTGCTAAATAGCAATGGTTTACATTCATGGAGGTACATGATGGACATATATCATGGAGAGGTGACAGATATCCTTTAACATACTGCTACTGCGGTAATTGGTGGAGCTCCCCCTCATGCCTGTCTCTGGTACTGCATCCTTGGGTGCCATGTTTAAAGGGGAATTCTAACACTCCCACCAGCAGTTGAATGGCTGTAATACTCTGCTGGGATATGTAACCATGAGGTCTTTGTGTGTGCCCTATTCAGAGGATCTTCCACACTGCTGTCTAGGTAAATGGTCTTTAAACCTAACCTCCCTGAATGTGATGCTGTCACTGCTTCAGCACAGGTGAGTTAGTTAATGGCTCATTTCTTTTTATTGGCACAGCTGTATGTTTAGAAGGAGATCCTCTGATTATGGACATGTCTATTGGTGTTGTGTGTAATGCACTCACTAGGTTTAGAAACTGCAAATATGTTCAGATTTCCCTTTTTTTGCCAGTATTTGTACTCCATTATTACCCGAGTATGATTGATTTCTTTCTGATTTTATTTCTTTGTCATGTCACATCATTGCAGTGTGCTTTCCATCTGACATGGTTTTTACCTCCATTACAGATTGTAAACCAAAAACTTTGTCCATGAGTCGGGCTTATGCTAAAGACATATACCAAGCTATCCAACAGGTTCTGGATTTTTTCAGAAGTATGTCCACATCACGCAGGGTAAGTCACAATCTGTCCACACCCCAAGCGCCTTCACCTTTCTAAAACAGAGGGATCGTGTCGGCTCGTGGGAATAAGCAGCATCGCAAAAACTTGATTTATCCTGATTTTCTTGTTGTCCTGCAGACTTCCAAGGTAGACGATGTCCCTGATGGCGTTAATTTGTCGTCTATGACCGATTTATCAGGTTAGTGAATGGGATCCCACAATGTGAATCAATCTATCCTTTTGTCTAATTATATTTTATAATATGTTTTAATATACTTTTTATTTTATTTTTTTATATATATAGACATCACCGGTTCCTTCGCCATTCAGGTATACCAGGAGATTCTTAATGGAGTAGAATCAAAACCACAGGTAAGATTTGAAAATCATGAACATTAAAACTATCTCAGAGAGTTAATTAAATTGGGGATGGAGGCATTTTACCTGTTATAACATCTGCTATATTGACTATCTCTTACGTATATATTAACATGGTAAATGATAGCAGAACACTCCAACCATCATAACCACTGTAGCAAGCTGTAGTGGTTATGGTGCAAGGAGTGCCCTTATGCTCCCCATTATAAGTAGTCAACCTGTACACCACTCCTTGCATCCACTACCTCGAAGAACCAGAAGCTTTCTGTATGAGATGAGCCAGAGGAATGCACGGCTTAGCTTATTAACTATAGGTGATCAGGTGACCTGAGGAGGGCTAACAATAGTTCCCAGCTCTGCAGTAGTATGGCAGGCAGGGAGCAGCGTCCGGCAGGTTCCAGCAGTATGGCAGGCAAGGAGCAGCGTCAGTCAGACCCTAGCTCTCCAGTATTATGGAGGCAGGGAGGAGCGTCCGGCAGGTTCCAGCTTTCCAGTAGTATGGAGGAAGGGAGCAGCGTCCGGCAGACCCCAGCTCTCCAGTAGTATGGCAGGCAGGGAGCAGTGTCCACTCCAGCTCTCCAAGAGTATGGCAGTCAGGGAGCAGCGTCAGTCAGACCCCAGCTCTCCAGTAGTATGGAGGCAGGGAGCAGTGTCCGGCAGGTTCCAGCTCTCTAGTAGTATGGAGGCAGGGAGCAGTGTCCGGTAGACCCCAGCTCTCCAGTAGTATGGAGGCAGGGAGCAGCGACCGGCAGACCCCAGCTCTCCAGTAGTATGGAGGCAGGGAGCAGCGTACGGCAGACCCCAGCTCTCCAGTAGTATGGAGGCAGGGAGCAGCGTCCAGCAGACCCCAGCTCTCCAGTAGTATGGCAAGCAGGGAGCAGTTTCCGGCAGACCTCAGCTCTCTAGTAGTATGACAGGCAGAAAGCAGCGTCCGGCAAGTTCCAGCTCTCCAGTAGTATGGCAGGCAGGAAGCAGCGTCAGGCAGACCCCAGCTCTCCTGTAGTATGACAGGCAGGGTGCAGCATCCGGCAGGTTCCAGCTCTCCTGTAGTATGACAGGCAGGGAGCAGCGTCTGGCAGACCCCAGCTCTCCAGTAGTATGGAGGCAGGGAGAAGCGTCTGGCAGGTTCCAGCTCTCCAGATATATGGCAGGCAGGGAGCAGCATCCGGCAGACCCCAGCTCTCCAGTAGTATGAGAGGCAGGGAGCAGCGTCCGGAAGACCCAAGCTCTCTAGTAGTATGAGAGGCAGGGAGCAGCTTCCGGCAGACCTCAGCTCTCTAGTAGTATGACAGGCAGAAAGGAGCGTCTGGCAGGTTCCAGCTCTCCTGTAGTATGGCAGGCAGGGAGCAACGTCAGGCAGACCCCAGCTCTCCTGTAGTATGACAGGCAGGGAGCAGCGTCCGGCAGACCCCAGCTCTCCAGTAGTATGGAGACAGGGAGAAGCGTCTGGCAGGTTCCAGCTCTCCAGATATATGGCAGGCAGGGAGCAGCATCCGGCAGACCCAAGCTCTCCAGTAATATGACAGGCAGGGAGCAGCGTCCGGAAGACCCCCAGCTCTCCAGTAGTATGACAGGCAGGGAGCAGCGTCTGGCAGGTTCCAGCTCTCTAGTAGTATGGAGGCAGGGAGCAGCGTCCGGCAGACCCCAGCTCTCCAGTAGTATGGAGGCAGGGAGCAGCGTCCGGCAGGTTCCAGCTCTCTAGTAGTATGGAGGCAGGGAGCAGCGTCCACTCCAGCTTTCCAGTAGTATGGCAGGCAGTGAGCAGTGTCCGGCAGATTCCAGCTCTCCAGTAGTATGACAGGCAGGGAGCAGCACCTGGCAGACCCCAGCTCTCCAGTAGTATGAAAGGCAGGGAGCAGCGTCCGGCAGACCCCAGCTCTCCAGTAGTATGGCAGGCAGGGAGCAGCGTACGGCAGACCCCAGCTCTCCAGTAGTATGGCAGGCAGGGAGCAGCGTCCGGCAGACCCCAGCTCTCCAGTAGTATGACAGGCAGGTTTCAGCTCTCCAGTAGTATGGCAGGCAGGGAGTAACATCTGGCAGTCCTCAGCTCAACAGTAGTAGGGCAGGCAGGGAGCAGCTCTCCAGTAGTATTGAGGCAGGGAGCAGCGTCCGGCAGGTTCCAGCTCTCCAGTAGTATGGCAGGCAGGGAGCAGCGTCCAGCAGGTTCCAGCTCTCCAGTAGTATGGCAGGCAGGGAGCAGCGTCCGGCAGAGCCCAGCTCTCCAGTTGTATGGAGGCAGGGAGCAGCGTCCGGCAGACCCCAGCTCTCCCAACAGTATGGAGGCAGGGAGCAGCGTCCAGCAGACCCCAGCCCTCCAGTAGTATGACAGGCAGGGAGCAGCGTCCGGCAGACCCCAGCTCTCCAGTAGTATGATATCCAGGAAGCAGCATCAGGCAGACCCCAGCTCTCCAGTAGTATGACAGGCAGGTTTCAGCTCTCCAGTAGTATGGCAGGCAGGGAGTAACATCTGGCAGTCCTCAGCTCAACAGTAGTAGGGCAGGCAGGGAGCAGCTCTCCAGTAGTATTGAGGCAGGGAGCACGTCCGGCAGGTTCCAGCTCTCCAGTAGTATGGCAGGCAGGGAGCAGCGTCCAGCAGGTTCCAGCTCTCCAGTAGTATGGCAGGCAGGGAGCAGCGTCCGGCAGAGCCCAGCTCTCCAGTTGTATGGAGGCAGGGAGCAGCGTCCGGCAGACCCCAGCTCTCCCAACAGTATGGAGGCAGGGAGCAGCGTCCGGCAGACCCCAGCCCTCCAGTAGTATGACAGGCAGGGAGCAGCATCCGGCAGACCCCAGCTCTCCAGTAGTATGATATCCAGGAAGCAGCATCAGGCAGACCCCAGCTCTCCAGGAGTATGGCAGGCAGGGAGAAGCGTCCGGCAGACCCCAGCTCTCCAGTAGTATGGCAGGCAGGGAGCAGCATCCGGCAAGTTCCAGCTCTCCAGATATATGGCAGGCAGAGAGCAGTGTCTGGCAGATTCTAGCTCTCCAGGAGTATGGCAGGCAGGGAGCAGCGTCCGGCAGGTTCCAGTTCTCCAGAAATATGGCGGGCACGGAGCGGCATCCGGCAGACCCCAGCTCTCCAGTAGTATGGCAAGCAGGGAGCAGCGTCCAGCAGGTTTCAGCTCTCCATTAGTATGGCAAGCAGGGAGCAGCGTCCAGCAGGTTCCAGCTCTCCAGTTGTATGACAGGCAGGAAGCAGCGTCCGGCAGGTTCCAGCCCTCGCAGGGAGCAGCGTCAGGCAGATTCAAGCTCTCCAGGTATATGGCAGGCAGGGAGCAGTGTCCCTTTAATGAGAATTCTGTAGTTTGATTGTGAGCTTATTTTTCACATGGTCATCTAGAGCAGTGATTTCACTAGAGTATGTGGAAGATGTCTGGTTGGTTTTGGTTCTGAGATTGAAATGCGCTCTCTCTCTCTCTCGCACTTAGGTTGAACCTTTTGAAGAACCCATTGATTCCGGAGGTAAGTCATTGCATATTGTGTGGTGTGTGCGTGTTTTTATATAAACAAAGTTTGCAGTGATAAGGTGCATAATCGAACCTAAGAAAAACAGATGGTTTACTATTATTTAACCACAGTGGTCAGAACTACTCATTGGTTTAAGATTCACAATCTGGCTCTATGTGGAAATGAAGATGGATTATCGCTGAATTATTAGTTTGACTGCTGTAGCCTAAACTCTGAGTTTGTTTGGAATTATTAACAGTTCATGTTTTAGTGAATAACAGTGATAAAAGCAACATACTTTATTTTAATTTATTTTCATTTCACCTTATTTAATTTAAACATATTCCTGGAACTACAATTATTTTATTTTTGGTGAGATGCCGTCTAACCTCACCCTTTATATGGTATCTTTGCAGAATTGCTCAGAAAAAACTTTGCTACGATTGTTCATGCCAACCCTGATATCACCTCTATACTCGATGACTTATTCTCTCAGAAGATCATAAGCCAGGAGGAGTTGAGCACGATCGAAGCCAGTGGAACTAGTCAAAACCTAGTGAGGGCAACGCTGCTGAAAGTAATGAACAAAGGCAGGAGAAGTTCAGATGTTTTCTTACAACTGTTGAAATTATACAGTTCTTCAGTAATGGATTCCCTGACGTCGTAGAGCGGAAACCACATTTCCTCTACGTCTGACGGTATCAGTGCCGATCTGAAGTCTTCTTCAACCCGTCCTGCAGTTGTAATTATCTGCCAGGGAATAGGTTGTATTGCTTAGAGTGCCGTTTACCTGTGTCAGCCATTACTGCCTTCAACTCCGATAGGTGAATATATTTGTTTTAAAAAATAAATTTGGTGACAGATGCAAACATTTTTTCAAATTGCACCAGAATGAAGGATTCATGTTTGTCTTTTCTTTAATGAGCTTTCACCGTTACGATGTAAATAGCTTTCATATTTTAACACGTCTTTTGAGAAATATATTGGCATAAAATGTAAACTTTTATATCAAACTGTTAAACGACCATTTCCTTGTATTTGTTACGTCTTGTAAATGATATGTGATACAGCAACTTGAAATGTGTGGAATTGTTTAGGGTCAAATTAGGTCTTTTAGTTAATTGGCCCCAAAAGCCATTTTCATTGAATGTGTCAATATTTCTTATGAAAGAATAACATTTCACCTACACTTTGAGATTTTCTATGAGCGCACACAAAGACACGACAGCAAGTTGGATAAAGTTGGACGACACGCACAGTGTCCGTAAAGTGCACCACATACACCTTGTACGTTTGTTGTTAATCCTGCTCTGGTTGTTACAATGAAAAGGCGGCCACACTTGGAGCCATACTTACCAGGGGAAGCTGAGGGAGGTACTTCACAGGGTTAGTCATTAAGTGGGAATCGTTGGGCATTAATAGTGCATTTCACTTTTTCGACCACAATAGCGGACTCAGACTCAGGAATCCGAATTCCTCCTGCTAGCTGTATTTTCTGTTTTTAGCGTTTTACACTGAAACTTGAATTTCACTTTGAATCAGTATTAAGTTCCTCACAAATCACCAAGTTGTTAATAAGCCTATGGGTTAGAAATGTGGGATTGTGACAAGGCAGTTGGAAATTTTAGGTTGAAATATCTTAAATGTCTATATGTAACTTGGCTATTTTCCAGCTTTTCTGATGTTATGTATAATGTGCAATTCTGTGTAGTAGATAAAGCTAATTGTAAATACCTCAAACGTATCTCTAACCCAAAACTGGTACAGCATCAAAATGAAGGAAAGGTCACTGGACGTTCTGTCAAAGAAAGAGGGATTAATAGTGCAATATGCAGACATTGTAAATCTGAAATAAAATAAAGCTTTGGTTTAACAACATCATGTATAGTATAGTCTCCCTTTAATGTTAGAGGCTCTAACTCTCAAATTTCTGCACAGATACTTTCCTTGAGCTGCTGTGTGAATGTTTGTATTTTTATTTTATTTTTTTCACGTACACCTATCCTTCACATATTACCCACAGGAAGTAATTGAGAGCCGAACGATCCTAATTAATCTGTGAATTTCCTGATATTTTCCTCTTGCAAGCAGTTGTCTCTGATTTGAAAATACAATTTTATTTTTACTTGTTATTCCTTCATGAAATTACCCGTGATGAATGTCCCTAGACTCCATTATTGTGTGTACCTGCAAGACATTAATTGCACTACTAACAAATATGTTATTTACCTGTGAAATCCTACTGTGAATCTTTGCCCACCCTGTAACCCTGGTTGGATTAGGCAAAACAGGCACTTTAATGAGATCCCTATATAGAGCAGCTGAGTCCACAATATTAAAGAGACACTCCAGACCCCTAGATTCCTATAGCTTGCTGAATGCTTTATATGTGATGAGTGTGTCTTCTTTTTTAATTTAACAATGTGCAGATTTCAATAGAAATGGTTACTTTTCTAAATTAAAATGATTACACCCTCTAACTGGCAATCAGATATCTGGTTCTGTTACTTCCTGGCTGTTTAGCTCAGTGGAGATAAAATCAAGAGGCAGCAATTGCCCATTTTTTTTAGAACTTTTTTTGCATAAAGCACTTGCCTTGCAAATACTTCTCATTGAGCTGCATTGGGGAGTCTGTGATTGGACAGCCACAGAAAGTCTGGGCGGAGTTAGAAGGGGAGGGCTTGCAAAGGCTGCAGACAAGAGATCTGTAACTTTTACAAGCTGCTTTTAGTTATAACAACAATCAAAAAAACTTATAATTAAATGCCAGCATGTTTTTTACTGGAGTATATCTATTAAACAGCGATTTTTAAAATGTATTTATTTTTGTATTTAGACAGGGGAGTGTCCCTTTAACTAATAAAAGACTGAACTAAGCAGAGATGTTCATGATTGGGAGATCTATCACAAAGCATAGATGCCTTAGAGGATTTCTCCAGTTGGGCTAAATTGATCTTTACTTTGAAATCTCACCTTTCTGAATAACACAGTGAGAGTTAATGCAAAGCTTTCTCAGGAACAGACAGCGGTGCTCAGCCCCACACTTTTCATATAATGCTGGCTGCTGGTTTAGACAAACACAGGTACATCTTAAAAATAACGCGAGCACATGCAGTAAAACCTACACTGTGAGTGTCCCGCCAGCATCAACACAATCTCTTGGAATATTGACTGAGCAACAGCAGATATTTTGGTACATGAAAAGAAACACACACGTGTGTTCAGTAAACCGCTAATTGTGATGAAATGAAAATTGAATTGCAAACTTTAAGTAAATATAGTTAATTTTACAAAAATCTCCAATTCTGTTATTTTGACATTATCTATGACTGAGATGGTAATGCTGTTGTGCATTGCATTTTACTGTTGTAATAATAAAAAACAGCCACATGATGGCAGCAAAGCCTTATTTTGTTTCACTCATTGAATTTATTTATTTTTCTCGTATATATGATTTTATTCCACAGAATTTCGCAAAAGATTTTAATACACACTAGAAATGTTATTGTAATAAATCTGAACTGACACTTTTGGATCTGATCCATGAGAACGAATTATTGTGTTTAAATGTATTTTATGTCTATTCTTAAATGTTTGCAACAAAAATATGTTTATTATATCAAACAACGATTACTTTCATTTAGTACTTAACTGAGGCATATCAAATAGTATTTAAAACAGTTTAACCCCTTAAGGACCGTTTTTGCGATGTTGTACATTTGCGACCAGGCATAATTTTACACTTTTGTGATGTTTGTGTTTAGCTGTAATTTTCCGCTCTCTCATTTACTGTTCCCATACAAATTATATATTGCTTTTTTCAGGACAAAAAAGGCTTTCTTTACATACCATTATTTATATAATCTCATGTAATTTAATTTAAAAAAAAGATGCAAAATTGAAATAAATACATGTTTTTTGACTTTTACTTGAAAAATCTTTTACTCATCTACAAAAGCGAATGAAAAAAGCTGCTAAATAGATTAAAAATTTTGTCCTGAGTTTAAAAATACCCAGTGTTTACGTGCTTTTTTGCTTTTTTTTGCAAGTTATAGGGCTATAGGTACAAGTAGGATATTCCGGTTTCAAAACATACATTGTCACTATTGATAAATTTTACAATTGTAACACTATTATCTGTCATAAATCTCTGAATAACACCCCACATGTACATTTTTTTTTTTTTTTTTAAAGTAGACAACCCAGGGTATTCAATATGGGGTATGTCCAGTCTTTATTAGTAGCCACTTAGTCAAAAACACTGGCCAAAGTTAGCATTCATATTTGTTTGTGTGTGAAAAAAGTAAAAAAACCAACTAAATTGAACGCTAATTTTGGCCAGTGTTTGTGACTAAGTGGCTAATAAAAAAGACTGGACATACCCCATTTGCAATACTTTGGGTTGTCTTCTTTTGCAAATGGTATGCCATCATGGGGTTAATTCTCATTCCTGGGCTACCATATGCTCTCAAAGGCAACGTAACCAACCTGGCCATTTTCAATGTAAAAATATTTGACCCTGTAACTTTCAAAAACACTATAAAACCTGTACATGGGGGGTACTGTTATACTCGGGTGACTTTGCTAAACACAAATATTAGTGTTTCAAAACAGGAAAACGTATCACAACAATTATATCATCAGTAAAAGTGCTGTTTGTGTGTGAAAAATGCAAAAAAAAAAGTCACTTGTACTGACAATATCATCGCTGTGATATGTTTTACTGTTTTGAATCACTAATATTTGTGTTCACCGAAGTCTCCCGAGTAAAACAGTACCCCCCATGTACAGGTTTTAGGGTGTCATAGTAAGTTACAAGGTAAAATATAGTGCTAGCAAATTAAATTCTCTGGGTTTTCGGCCTGTTGTACCTCAAATTGCAATCAATAAAATTACTTAAGACCGGAGGGCGTACAATTACGCCCTATTTTAGGCGGCTCTAAACGCCGCCGGGCGTAATTGTACGCCCTCCGGTCTTTCATTACTTACCCAGTCGCCGGCGGTCCCACGCTGGCGATCGCGGTGGGGGGGACTCCCAGGGAGCCCCCCAGCGGCAGATCCTCCTCCTCTGGTGCCCCCCGTCATGTGAGAGTGAGGTTCTTGCGAGGACCTCTCAATCACATGGCCGGGTAGGCTGCCTCCTGCATTGCCAGCAGGGGGGCTGCCTGTAATGACAGGTGGTCCCCCTGCTGGCTGAAAATAAAATAGATAAAAAAGTGTTAAAAAAAAAAAATGTATACTTAGATCATATATATAATCTAAGTATATATATATATATATATATATATATATATATATATATATATATATATACACACATACACACACACACTGTCTAGATGTATTTTACTATTAATATATATATATATTATCAAATTACACGTAGACTGATACTGATTAAATATATGTATAATTATTGTTATATATATTTATATATAATATAAAAAAATTAAATATGTAAATACGTTAAAAAATAAAATTAAAAAAATTATTTAAAAATATATAGATGTGTGTTATTTCGTTCTAACTGTATTGTGATATTAATATATATTTATATCAAAATACACGTAGAACGAAATAATATATATATCTACATACATAAATATATATGTATATATCGCTATATGTATACCTATATATAAATAAAAATATAAAAAAATTATATATATATATATACACATATAGATTCACATACATATATATATACATATATTAATTCTACATATATATTTATGTAATATTTTTACATAATTAGGTATCTTAATTAATTACAATTAGCGGGACCTGCCTGACAACCCATGCCGAAAGTAAAGGAAATTTAATTTGCTAGCACTATATTTAACCCTATAACTTTCCAAGACACCATAAAACCTGTACATGGGGGGTACTGTTCTACTCGGGAGACTTCGCTGAACACAAATATTAGTGTTTCAAAACAGTATGTATTACAACGATGATATCGCCAGTAAAAGTGACGTTTTTTGCCTTTTTCATGCACAAACAGCACTTACACGGACAATATTATTGCTGTGATACTTTTTACTGTTTTGAAACACAAATATTTGTGTTCAGCGAAGTCTCCCGAGTACAACAGTACCCCTCATGTACAGGTTTTATGGTGTTTTCAAAAGTTACAGCGTCAAATATAAGGCTTGCGTTTCATTTTTTTCACATTAAAATTCGCCAGATTGGTTACGTTGCCTTTGAGACCCTATGGTAGCCCAAGAATGAAAATTACCCCTATGATGGCATACCATTTGCAATAGTAGACAACCCAAGGTATTGCAAACGGGGTATGTCCAGTCTTTTTTAGTAGCCACTTAGTCACAAACACTGGCCAAAATTGGCATTTTTTGCATTTTTCACACAAACAAATACTAACGCTAACTTTGGCCAGTGTTTGTGACCAAATGGCTACTAAAAAAGACTGGACATACCCCATTTGCAATACCTTGGGTTGTCTACTATTGCAAATGGTATGCCATTATGGGTGTAAATTTAATTCCTGGGCTACTATAAAGTCCCAAAGGCAACGTAACCAATCTGGCGAATTTCAATTTCAAATGTAACGTGCTATATTTGACCCTGTAACTTCCCAAAACGCCATAAAACCTGTACAAAGGGGGTACTGTTTTACACGTGAGACTTTGCTGAATACAAATATGTGTATTTTATTGCAGTAAAAGCAAACAGTATTATGACATTGACAGTTAAAATGTCATGTAGAACTAAAAAAATTAAAAAAAATCGTATTTTCTCCCATTTTTTTCATATTAAATTATGTTTCATAGCTAAATATTTGATATTAAATGAAAGCCCTGTTTCCCCTGAATAAAATGATATATAATAAGGGTGGGTGCATTTAATATGAAAGAGGTGAATTACGGTTGGACAGACATGTAGCGCAAATGCCAGGTTTTGTTTACATTTTGTTTCATTCACAATGTGTACATTTGGCTCTGTCCTTAAGGGGTTAATTATGTAAAATTATTACATAAATACGCACGTAGAATTTAAATATATATACATATTTATATATTTGAAGTCTACGTGTACATTTATATAATTATGTAATTTTGTATATGAACATATGTATATTTTGTATTATTTTTATTTATTTACCGTATTTTTCGCTCCATAAGACGCACCTCACCATAAGACGCACCTAGTTTTTAGAGGAGGAAACCCAGAAAAAAAAATATTCTGAACAAACTGTTCCATAGTGTTTCTTACCATGGGACAGTTTGTTCAGAATATTTTTTTTTCTCCCCTGTCCCATAATGATCTTTAACCCCCCTTTCCTCTGTCCCATAGTGATTGTTAACCCCTCCTCCCTGTCCCATAGTGTTCTTTAACCCCTCCTACCCTTGTCCATTAGTGTTCTGATCCCATAGTGTCCCCCCCTCCCATTGTCCCATAGTGCACTTTCCCTCCCATAGTGTCCCCCCTCCCCTTGTCCCATAGTGTCTCCCCCCTCCCCTTGTCCCATAGTGTCCCCCCCCCCCTTGTCCCATAGTTCTCCTCCCTTTCCCATAGTGTCCCCTCCTTGTCCCATAGTGTCTCCCCTCCTTGTCCCATGGTGTCCCCCTCCTTGTCCCATAGTGTCTCCCCTCCTTTCTCCCATGGTGTCTCCCTCTCCCCTTGTCCTTTCTCCTGGTGTCCCCCTCCCCTTGTCCCATGGTGTCTCCTCCCTTTCTCCCATGGTGTCTCCCTCCCCTTGTCCCATAGTGTCTCCCCCTCCCCTTGTCCTGGTGTCCCCCCTCCCCTTGTCCCATGAGTGTCTCCCCTTGTCCCATAGTGTCTCCCCCCCCCCTTGTCCCATAGTGTCTCCCCCCCTCCCTTGTCCCATAGTCCCTTTCTCCCATAGTGTCCCCCTCCCTTGTCCCATAGTGTCTCCCCCTCCCCTCCTCCTTGTCCCATAGTGTCCCCCTCCCCTTGTCCCATAGTGTCTCCCCTCCCCTTGTCCCATAGTGTCTCCCCCTCCCCTTGTCCCATAGTGTCTCCCCCTCCCTTTCTCCCATAGTGCTCCCCCTCCCCTTGTCCCATAGTGTCTCCTCCTCCCTTTCTCCCATAGTGTCTCCCCCTCCCTTTCTCCCATAATGTCTCCCCCTCGTCCCATAGTCTCTCCTTCCCATAGTGTCTCCCCTTGTCCCATCCCCCACTCTCCCATAGTGTCCCCCTCCTTGTCCCATAGTGTCTCCCCTTGTCCCATAGTGTCTCCCCCTCCCCTTGTCCCATGGTGTCTCCCCTCCTTGTCCCATGGTGTCTCCCTCCCCTTCTCCCATAGTGTCCCCCCCCCAAAACCCTCCCCTTGTCCATAGTGTCCCCTCCTTGTCCCATAGTGTCTCCTCCCCTTGTCCATAGTGTCCCCCCTCCCCTTGTCCTGGTCTCCCCCTCCTTGTCCCATAGTGCTCCCCCCTCCCCTTGTCCCATAGTGTCTCCCACTTGTCCCATAGTGTCTCCTTCCTTGTCCCATAGTGTCCCCTTCCCTTGTCCCATAGTGTCTCCCCCTTCCCTTGTCCCATAGTGTCTCCCCCTCCTCCCCTTGTCCCATAATTACTTACCTGTCTTGGAGCGTGGGCCGGCTTCACAGCGCGCTCCGCGGTCCAGGAACTTCTATTTCAGGTTCCGGTTTCCGGCGGGACTGAAAGGAAGTGTGCACACTGAGTGTGCACTTTCTTTCAGTCCCGCCGGAAACCGGAACCTGAAATAGAAGTTCCTGGCCGCGGAGCGCGCTGTGAAGCCGGCCCACGCTCCAAGACAGGTAAGTAAATCTTCACATTCGCTCCATAAGACGCACAGACATTTCCCCTCACTTTTGAGGGGGAAAAAAGTGCGTCTTATG